TTTTATTATATTGACCTTTCAGCTGTGCCTGGCTAACAATACAGAAGTTACAATGACATGGCTCACATGCATATAAGGGAGCATTTCCAAAAATGAAAAGAGGTGAGTGGGGCCACTTTGTTTGATTCAGTACACGAGTTATATGTCAGCAAACAGAAAAGATAGGAGGTTCTTATTTTATATTCTAGCTTGTTAATATTGGTAATTTGAGTTTCTAATTCGTATAAAACTAGACTTAGTATTTTGACGTCACAAACATCTAATTTGAACCAATGCTGCATTAAACATACCATATGACACACAAAAATCGATGCTTATCTGTGTTTTTTAATATTTGCTTTTAAATTAAGAAATTGAGTAATATATCATACTAAAATCTGAATTATAATCTACAGTTTGATACCAAACTTACTGACATACATTCATGAAATAGTAGTTCAATAAAATTTTGAATGCAAGTCAACAAACGAGATGACAGCCTTTCACCTGTGACCCATCTCGAACACCTTTGACATTAGTGTTAAGAAAATGCATAATAAAAATCATTATGCATATATTTACTTATTTCTGGAAAGTCTACCATACATTCACGAGTATGCTAGTAAATAAAATGGAAATGCACACTAAGTTATTTTTGGTAATAAAGTATCATATGAGAAATTTTCCTTTATTTGTACAGTTACAATTTAAAGAAATATTAGTCCAAGTTCAAAGCACAGTGCACTTAACAGCAGATACTGGTGTACCAGCATTACTTTAAACACCAATTCTTATACACAATAAACTGAAAATCAGTCAATGACTATATTGTGGTTACTGATTAAATGTCTAGCATAACATAAGAAACAAGTTTTAATGTATAAAAGTTTGCACAGTCCTGATGACTTAATGACAAAATCTATCAAGTTTCTTACTGCACATGGGGTGGACCAAAAGTGGCTAAACAGTAGAACCTGGAAATTAGTGAGATTTGCCAATTGATTAATCGTCAAGCTCATTAATCAGTTATCATCATGAGACTTTGATAGTTAGTATAATCAAAAGGATTAATTTTGATTACTGAATATGTTCTTAAGTCATGATACTCATCAACTAAGATGAACAACCCAGAATTAATCAAAAACAACGAGAAACCATAATGCCAATATTTTGATTACTTGGATAGTTTAAATAATCAAAAACAGTAAGAACCAGAAACACTAATCTTCATTAGCTAATTATTTGTGTAACATTTTAATTGTAATTTCTATTGATTAATTATTTTACATTAAAATACTTGATGCTCGTAGGTAATTGAATATACTGAGTTGTTACCCAGCTCTACTACAATTGTTTCGTTTAGAACAGTTTAATTTCTAACATCTAACTCTGAAACAATTAAGTTGGTCACAGTTGTCTTCATGACATTTTCTTTATTACAGCATAATATCAACTATACCAACCATATAGTACCGACTGTATAGTAACTTACACCCATATCTAAATACACTAGAAAATAAGTAATAGGTAATACTGTTACCTCCACAATATAAATCAAACTACTTATATATGATTTGAGGTTAAAAATAAATATGAATATCTGTAGGCAGATGTATCAACAAGTTGTTTAAAAGCACATGCATATTATTAATGATAAGAATTTGGCATATTAATAGCTTATTTTATTTTTTCCTAAGCCAAATATAGATTTGGTACAGGAACAAGCAGCTGCACCATCTCTGAAAACAGGAAAAAACATAAAAATGTCTTGAACAAATTAAAATGATATATCTAGTTCAAACTGTTTTTCACCATTAACACACTTAATATAAAAAGTGGATACCACAACTA